AGAGTGTGAAGTACAGGGAGTCCCCGAGTTACGCGGATCCGACTTACGTCGGATCCGCAGTTACAAATGGGGCTTTTCTCGCCCCGGAGGACTGGAGTGGCGGGACGCCCAGATGCGCTGCAGTCCCGCCGCCCCCGTCCTCCAGGGCGAGAAAAGCTGCTCCACGTCTCCCTGGTCTGCTGGGGGGGAGCTCCCCCCCAGCAGACCAGGGAGACGTGGAGCAGCTTTTCTCGCCCTGGAGGACGGGGGCGGCGGGACTGCAGCGCATCTGGGCGTCCCGCCGCTCCAGTCCTCCGGGGCGACAAAAGCCCTGTTCGTAACTGTGGATCCGATATAAGTCGGATCCGCGTAACTCGGGGACTGCCTGTATTTACTGAATAAGGAGTAATTACGAGAAAAGAAATCCTCACATCCCTCTCAATCTCCTCCACTCTATTTGGAGATAGGATATGTTACTATATCCCTTTGTCATCAGTCTGATTCTGTGAAACATTCACTTTATTCACATGTGGGACACTTGGTTTCCCCAAGTAAATATTCAGGACTGCTCAGATCCTGAACACTGATGTGTGACATCAGGTCAACAGACAAGAACTGGATACTTGATATGCTCTATGACTTCTTGCCCCTCACTATTCTTGACTAACTCCTCATTTTCTGGAAATCTAACCTGAAGCACAAGATTTTCATAAGTGCCTTATGGTCTAGAACAGTGTTTCTCAACCAGTGGTACAAGTACCCTTAGGGGTACTCAAGAGAAGTCTAGAGGGTATGTCAGCACAACTGAAATTTGGAGAAAACTGAATTTTTGTTTTAAGTTTCACAACGCTTCATTTTTGTACTTTTTACATCCAAAAATGTCATCGCCTGCCCAGCTACGATTAAGTTGTTTAAACAAATGTGTTGCAATGGTAGAAAAAAAATGGTGTGTCTGAAAACTATAGACACAGTATTTGGGGGTACTTACTTTTTTTTCTTTTTTGGAAAAAGGGGTACTTTATAAAAAAAATTTAAAAAAAAAGGTTGAGAAACACTGGCCTAGAATGTTGTACTTCGAAAGCCAGGAGAAAAAATCTCACGCTGAAGAGGAATAAGAAAGAAGTCTGCAGATATTTCAGGAAACTCTAGGGGAAAAAATGCAAACCTGCAGACTGCAGATACCAGAACACAGTATTTAGGGTAAGATTCACTTTGAAAGGGACTTGTACTTCTGAGCCACTATTGAAAAATTCACTTCCCCAATTTCCAAGACAAAAGAATTCACATGTTGACCCATTCAATTGTGCGCCAGCATTTACATAAGGCATATGTTTTCATACGTATTTTCAAAGGCAGTATAGGAACTGGTATGTAAAATCATCCAAGGTCTTAAAATGCAGTCAGTCAACAGTTCCACACCAAAACAGTGTGCTCTGCAATCAAAGGGCTAAAACGGACTATAATTAGCTACCCCATTTAGGGCAGAAAAAGTGCATTCAGTTCAACAGGGCACAGTCTGACTAGAGAAATAATGTCTGTATTTGATTTCAAAAAGCTTTCCTTCAGAAATAGATTAAGTAGCAACAAGACAATTAGAAGATGTGGAAGATACTTACCTGGTCTGTGCACTGTCATCATTCTCCATGAGTGTAGGGTGGGGCCTGAAGACCAGCTCTATTTCACTAGCACCATCCATTACTGGGTCTATTGCCACAGTTGTGTTGTTATTGTCCAGTTCTAGCCCAGAATCATCTGATGTTTTGGTTCTTTTGTTACTGGGCCCTGCTTCCTGATTGCTGTGTGTTGAAGCATTGCTACAGTGTGAACTGTCACCATTATCCTCTGCTCCACTGCCATTCTCAATCTGTTGCTTCTTGCCTCGTTGTAGCCTGATTAAAGATATACGTAAATAAATATGATCTTGGCAGCCAATCAGCATTCAGAATTCATCAAATCTCTCTAAAATTTTCCACACACTAGCTCACACAGTATCTCTCAAACAATTTTTCACAATTGTCTAGAGGCAAAGGGTGTTATAGCAAGCATATTCAAAGGCACCAATATTTCATAGTGATTATACCAGCATATGTTCAACAACTCCTCCTCAAACTCTTTTTCCAGAGAGTGATTATGTTTTGTTCCTTCACTAAAGCTATGAAAAGAGTTTCCTTTTCTTTGCACACATACATATAAGTGAACAACTTTTTAAAACAAAACAGATTCTGAAGTCAACCTGTGGAACTCCTTGCCAGAGGAGGCTGAGAAGACTAGGACTATAACAGAGTTTAAAGAGAAGCTAGATAATTTCATGGAGGTTAGGTCCATAAATGGCTATTAGCCAGGGGATAAAATGGTGTCCTTGGCCTCTGTTTGTCAGAGGCTGGAGAGGGATGGCAGGAGACAAATCGCTTGATCATTGTCTCCGGTCCACCCTCTCTGGGGCACCTGGTGCTGGCCACTGTCAGCAGACAGGATACTGGGCTAGATGGACCTTTGGTCTGACCCAATACGGCCATTCTTATGTTTTTATGAAAGATTCATACAGAAATATCCTACACAATTTAATAGCTTATATTTTCCAAAGTTTTGTTGTAGAAGTCGTCCTTTGGAAACACAGGCCAATAATTATTTTTACCCAAGACTACAGGTTCTTCATGTTCCCTTGAAACATACACAGATTAGAAATCTAAGCAATCTGAGAAGGACAATGTGTACCATGTTTCCAAACCATTATACCTTTTATTGTATTAGATATAATAATGCACTGGCAAAATATTTTTGAATTATGACGGATTTATGCCACCCTGTTCTTTATTCTTTCAGCTAAACAGGATCCCATATGTATGCCACTATATTAGTTACTTGGAGCACTGTAAAAGAGTAGTAATGTCTGTACCACCAGTGTGAATTTCAAACACATTTTATTGTATGGTTTATACAAGCTGTTTCTCTTTTAGGGTTAAATGTTGTGCTATACCAAGCTGAGAAATTCTATGTATGCCTTTCAGAATTGCAAAATAAATTGTCATTAATATATCCCACCCCAAAAGTAAGATTTGCCCCCCCCCCCACACACACACAAAACAACAAAATCCCTTATTCCTGGTCAAGTATAATTTTGCAAAGCAAATTATCATCAAAATTATGCATATTGTTTTAAAAAACTGCTGAGAAGTTATTTTAGGACATGCTTTTCACATTTAAAGAACTAACAAAAATAGAAGATTAACAAGGGGTTCGGGGAACAGATGATCCTCAAGAAATAGAGCAGAATTGTACTTTACAATATTTAGATGTACCTTAAGGATGGCCTCTTCAGACATGAGAGAGAGCCCAATTGGTGTGATTCTTTGTACAGATTTCAGTGTATTGCATTAACTAAGAGGCTTGTATGATGGAGAAAAATTGTGATGCCTGTATTTTTATTGATTTGCAGCCTGAGTTCTTAAGGTGCATCTACACTGCATCATTATTTAGAGATAACTAGCATTATTTCGAAATAACAATGCGAGCATCTACACCCATTCCGTTATTTTGAAAAAACAGATGGCTTATTCCGAATTCTGTAAACCTCATTCTATGAGGAATAACGCCTATTCCAAAATAGCTATTTCGAAATAAGGTGCTCCACTATCGCTATTTCGAAATAGCCCCTCTAAGTTATTCTTCCCCAGCACCTCCGGGAGTTCTAAACCGAGATAGCGCATCTACATTAGGGAAACCTGCCTCGAACTAATTTTGAGGCTTCCCCGCAGTGTAGATGTGCTATTTCAAAATAACTATTCTGGAATAGCTTATTTCAAAATAAGCATGCAGTGTAGACATACCCTTACTGTGATACAGATGTCCATCTTTTGAACACAATATAATCACTACTTTATGAAGCCAAATATTTGGCTGTCATGGAGAGTTAGGGAAATGATACAGGAATTCAAATTGCTGGTCAAAAGCTAGGCAGTTTTACTTTTAATCAGAGACTTAAAAAGGTATCTAGAATAATTTATGTTTTAGTTTGCTTTCAATATTAGGTTAATGTTACAATAAGACAAACAACCTATCCTCAGTGTCCCATACCTGTTCATGGCTTGAATCTTTAATCCTTCCTCAATGCTGTGGCTCAGAGCTTGCTGGTTATTGTGTTTACTGATCCGTGCTAGGACTCTCTCTTGATGAGCCTCATATTCATCTCGGCTTGGGTAAATTTTACTGATGAGGGCATCAAAATTCGGATCTGGTCTCAGTGATCTTTTAGAAACAAGCTTTTTCCGACATGTGGGACACTCTTTGTTTCTAAACCAACAAAAAAGAAAGGGGACAATGATAGTTCATCATGGCTGTCATCCAGAATTCCCTGTCATGATGCAGTTCATGCTTTCCTTATGACATTTAGGCTACATCTACACTGCAGTGCTTTTCCAGGATACCAGAAATATCCCAGATAAGCAACACCACGTCCAAGGAACGTGTCCGCTTTCTCAAGAACATTTTTTAAAAAGCGGACGTGCTCCTTCACCGTCCCTGTAAACCTTGTTCTACGAGGAAGAAGAGAGGTGTCGAAAGAGCAGTTTTTTCCCCAAAATTTGGCACACTGTAGACACACCAAATTTCAGAAAAGCCTCTTTCGACAGAAAAAGCGGAAAAAGATACGCAAATTGCAGTTTGCAATTTGCAAATCTTTTTCTGACTTACCTTTGTAGTCTAGATATAGCCTTAGTGTGTCACCAACATCCTGTTAGCATCATCTAGGGAAAAATCTCCTCTGCCTGCCTTTGACAACAATTACACTCCCTTCAGATCATTTTTATTCTTGCTAAGAAATCTGCAGTTGTCACTTCAATAAAAGATGCATTTACATTAGGGATATTAGCGTACAGTCATTTAAACGATTACCAGATAAGTCTGGGTTTATCAGTTAATCCAAACAATTATATATACACACACACACACACACACACACACACACACACACACACACACACACACACACACCTTGCTGCAGCGGGGGTGGGATGCAGGAGCCGGTGCCCGTGGCAAGCCAGCTCCCCGCATATGCCGGTTCCTGCAGAGCCACCTGCCCCCTCTACTGCCTGCCCCCCATGCTGCTGCCTCTGTGGAAGGCAAGAGCCACTCCTTGCGGGGAGGCAGCAAGGTAGGAGCTGGTCTGCATGGGGAGCTGATTTTTAAACTGGTTCTCCTCATGGATTAGGTCTGCCTGCCACCCCGCAGTGCTGTCTCTGATACAGAAGCAGCAGCATGGGATGTCAGGGGACTCCCTGGCAGTGGGGCTGGAGCCAGGAGCATACTAACTGCCTGCCCCGCCCCGGAAGAGCATTGAAGTAATCGTGTAACCACTAAAACCTGTTCTGGCTACACGATAACTAAAATTAACGATATCTAACATCCCTAATTTGCATATGTTTATATTGACATGTAAGGATTCAAATGTCTTGCTTTTCCTTGCGGACAGATTCTTTCCTTTAGCATCTCGAAGTGTGTCTTTATTAATCCAAAAAGGGCATTCTTAACTCAAGTTAGCATCCTAGTGAAGATAAGATCATTCATAGCTTTCATGTGAGTTAGTAGATCAGATAAAAAACTATAAAGGGATCCTACTCTTTAGCTTGATCTGCTAAATTGCAAAAACTATCAACTGGCTTGTCTTCACTAGACTGTTACTTAGAGTGAGTTAATTCACATTAAGAACACTTCTTCCCCCTAATGAAAGCAAGAGCTCCAGGGCAGAGGCCAGATTTTTTTGTCAGACCGTGTTCATTAAGTGACATTCTTACTGCTCTAGCTTCTAATTAAAGGTAATTACACAATGGAGACTAACATACCATCTTCTATTATTGCATGTTCCAGTTCATTCAATAAATGTATGAAAATATCCCTTGACAAATGTACTGTTTCCATTTCACAACACATAGGAATCTTTCTGCAGGACATGAGATTACAACAATTTATTTTTATATGCATTGTTTTTCTTGTCCAAGACAGGAGGATTAATTTTTGCAGAGTAGTTCAGCATGCCCACATTCCCCAAAGACATCTCTTTTCCCTAGCTAAGCAGTTTTCAACCTGTGCTCCCTAAGATTGCCCACATTTTGCTTAAAGGTTGAATTCCATTGGTCTGCACAGCTGAGACCTCCATTTGAAATTTAGGAGGCAGCAAATGAAAAAAAAAGGTTGAAAAAATCTGACAATCTTTGGAGTTCTGATTAAACTAAGGCACAAATAAAATAGTAAGGGGATCAAATATGACATCTCATTGCAGGTCATTATGATTATCATGCTGTCATTGTTCTCCTTGTAGGTTTGATATTTCTATAGTCAAATTAATGGTAAAAAAAAGACAGGTGATTGCAAATTATTTTAAATTTAAATTGTTGTTGAGAATGGTTCTCAATTAAAATTTGTTTTAAATACATACTAAAAACATGTTCCATTAATTAGGGAATCTTGTACCCTGTACACCTGGTAAGATTCCACTGAGATTTGTAGTATAAGTTATCATTACTAGATCGAGCTGACTTAAGAAAGGAGGAATTTTCAATTATTTAGTTTTTCTACATTGGTGTATAAAGAGGATGCATGTACCTTCCCTTGAACACCTGCATCACCACATGAGACCAAACATTTTAACAGTGAGGTAATGCCAAAGTTCACACTTCAGATGCTGGATGCAATATGCTGGGTTCCTTGTACTCTAGGAGTGGTGTGCTTGCTGATCTCTTAACACATAGAGCTTTGTTGTGTCATTTTGATTCTTCACCACCATCCCCATCTCCCAGCATGAAGGCAGGTTTCTTAGGTATACATTATTCCTTACATACCCGCTCCTGAGGGCTGTAATGATACAATCAGCACAGAAACGATGCAAGCATTCCTTTGTTGTCATGGTGTTTTTCAACATATCCAAACAAATGGGACACATCAATTCACTGTGCAGGCTTCTAGGTGACACCACTATTTCCAGACCATCCGTTATTGCTTCCTGAAGATCAAATAGTGAAGTGAAAAATCTATTAATGGAGTTAGTTACACAGAAACAATGTAATCTTTGCAAGTACAATTATTAGTGAGATACTGCACTGTAGAAAACACTACCATAAAAGCCAACTACATAATTCTACATTTATAACAGTGTGGCACTGCTCATTGTTTTGTTTTTCAACATGCAACACATTTTAAATAGGAAATTAGAGATGTTACCAACCACTTTACGAAAAATACTTCAATTAAACTGTCCTATAGTTTACATAGAAAGTTATTGCACTCTAGTTTTGTAGAAATGCCTTGCATGAAGTTAGCTTCTTTAGTAGTATTACCTGAGGTGTTCTCTGTAATTCATATAAACTGAGCTCCCACGTTTTGCTTAAAGGTTGAGTTCCATTGGTCTGCACAGCCTGAGACATGGCTAGGAAAAAAAGGGGAGCAGGGAAAAAAAAGACAATCATAAAACAAAAATGCAAATGTGTTTAACTGAAGTCTGAAGCAGATTCCCTCTTCTTTAAATGGACCTGATGACCTTCTGAGGTCTCTTCTAGCTCTATGGTTCTATGATTCTAGTGCTAGTTCGGCGTTTTCAGAGACACAGCAATCCCCTGGCTCCCTGCAGATGTGTTTGCAATTTCTACTCGAATACAGAAGAAATGAAAAAAGGACTCCTACAGGATGAAAAAAAGCCAGAATAAGCACCAAATTCCACACAGAGACATATGCAATGCCCCTCCCCCCTCCTCCGAAACTGAAGTTATACAAGTATAACTGTGTGTGTTATTCAAAACACACAGTTCATGAAAGTTGGTTCAGACTGCTAAGGGACGGTAACGCAAGAGAAACCACAAAACCTAGCAAGTACAGCATAAGACATCACCTTCTCAAACACATACCCAAAAGACTCTTAGCACACACACTGTGGCTGAGTAAGGTTGACTTGCTCAGGGAATGGAAGGTCACTGAATTGACACAACTTCACTCTTCCCTCTGATGTGAGTGTTTCTATGGTGAGTATTCGCTCACCTTCTCCTTTCTCGACACTTTACAGAGGGGGTTTAATTTATGACAAGTATTTTAAAAATTGCTGATGTGGGTATTAAGATCAGCTGGGTTTTGAAAGCATGTTTCTAACTTTGGATTTCAACAATGAGCCCAATTCTCGTCACACAGCAGTGTAATTCCATTGGGTTCTCTAGAGTTGCTTCTGATTTACTGTGGTGAAAGCAGGAGGAGAATCAACATCTCAGATAAGCAATATGCTTGAACCACTACTACCAGTATCACTACTCCAGTTTCTGTCCTTATTTCTTATATTAATTGGAGGGGAGGTGTTAAGCCAACTCTTTCTCTCCCCCCAACAATGCATACTTGAAAAAAGTTGAGCATGAGAAGGAATCAAAATTTTAATTTAAGACTTTGCACTTCCATAGCACCCTCCACTCAGTATTTTAAAAAATGCTTTACATGGTCACGAGTCCACACACACACACACACACACACACACACACACACACAAAGAAATCAGGTAAAGAAATATCTCATCTTCATAAAGAGAGAAGAGAGGTACAGAAACAGTTACATGACTTGCATAACATTTTAGACCAAGGTGGGCAATAATTTTTAATAGGGCCACTCCATTAATTTGGAAAGTGGTCAAGGGCTGCACTCTTCCATGATATTAATGGAGGAGGTGTGAGTCTGGGATGGAGGTTAGGTGCAGAAGGGAGCTTGGAACAAGGGAAGGAGTTTTGACCTGGGGCTCTGGACTGGTGTGCAGAGGGTTGGATTGTGACCTAGAGCAGTGAATTGAGGTGCAGGGGTTTGAGTTGTGAGCAAAGGCAGGAGAGAACTGTGATCTAGGCCTAGGGATTGGGGTGCTGGATCTTGGAGGGGGTATGGGTACAGAAGGGGAACAGAGGATTTGGGTATGTGGAGGAGGAGGGCAGAGGGTTGGGAAAGGGAGGGACTGGGGTGCCAGAGGTAGGCTCTGGCCAGGAGACTTAAACAGCTGCTGAGTCCTGAATCAGCCTCCCTGCCTGCCCTGCCCCTGCACAGGCTGCAGCTATGTGCTCTGTGTATAACTATGAGCCCCTTGTGCTTGGTAGCCCCGTTATTGAAACAGGCAGCTCCCATTGGCCAGTTTCTGGCCAGAAGCCAGCCAATGGGACTGTGCTGGGGGCGGGAACAGCTCCTAAAGCTTCCCCCCCCTGCCCAGGCTGTTTTTAAAGTGAAATCGCCCCACAGCTGTGTTTCTGAGAGGCATGCGGGAGCAGGGAGCCTGTCTGGGGCTCCCTATAGCTTCCATGGACTAGATCCAGTGGCTTGGTGGGCCGGATCCAGCCCATGGGCCATATTTTGCCCAGGCCCGTTGTAAACTGAAGTCAATATCAAATTTAGGAACAGAACCCAAACCAAGAAACTACTAGTCAGTCCTGAGTTTTTAACCATTAGACATATATATTGTAATTATAGCCATGAAAGAAAGTTTCACTTTAGCCTTATGCAAATTGTAAAGATCAAATTAATGTAAATGGAACACAAACAGGTTTCTAAACAGAAAACAGTTAATTATGTAGGATAGAAAGGGCGGAAGGAACACTTGCCAAAAAGAACATGGATCTGGAAAGCTATTTTGGGAGAGTGTATATGCATGACTATTTCTGAATGATGCAAAATTATAGTTATAGAATCATAGAATCATAGAATCATAGGACTGGAAGGAATCTCAAGAGGTCATCGAGTCCAGCCCCCCCGCCCTCAAGGCAGGACCAAGCTCCGTCTACACCATAGTTGAGAACATCTGCACCAGATGGGGGGGAAAAAAATGAAGGTTTTTTTCAGTTTACTTTAAAAAAAAAATTAACTGTGCACTGCCAAACTATCCCAACATGGAGCCATGATCAAAATCCTATTATAATGGACCAGCTGAGAAATGTCAACTTCTCTGTTCCAGTGGAGACTGAACAGGCTCAACTAACTTTTTATGAAAGGGGTGGGGAAAGAGAAGGGACAGAGGACAGACGCAGCACAGATTACTACTGTGCCTGTTCATCTTCATCTTGGACATGGTGCTTGGAGCACGTCTCTTCTTACTGAAGAGGAATGGTCAAAAGAACAGAACAGGTGGCAGCTCCCTGGTCCCACATAGGGATGTGAATGGTTAACCGGTAAGTATCACCCTTACCGGGTGATACTTACCTGCTACAGTTAACCAGTGGAGGCTGGAGCAGCCCCCCACCTTCCGCAGACAGAGGGCTGCTCCAGCCCAGTGGGGCCTGCTGTGGGCAGAGGGCACTACAGCCCAACCAGAGCAGCCCCCGCCGTCGGGAGGGGGCAGGAGCTAGAGCGAAGCCAGCCAATGATTAACTGGTTAACTGATTAAATGGGACTTTAAGTCTCTGGTCCGGAACAAGAGAATGTGTTGTTCCCTGCCACCAGACTCCCAGCCCACTACCCCCGCTTTTGGCCCTGGCCCCCTGCTGTCAGGCTCAGGCCCCACCGCCACGAGCTCCCAGCTGGCAAGGCTTCCAGCCCAGGACTCTCTGGACCCCTGATGTTTCCAGAGCAGAGTCCTGGTTTAGTGAGGTGCAACCTGTAGTTCTTAGCAAGCCACATATGACACCTAAATAATAACTTGGGGCTGGAGAGATGGCAGAAGAATTGGGAAATAATGATGGATTCAGGCTGTGAACTCCTGCTGTAGTAGCATAAAAAGACTCAAGGGACTTGTTTCTCAGCATGGAAAAGAGAAATATCCATTTATAGAGCCCTAACTGACTCCTGAAATTGACAAGCTGCCCAGCTAACTGCAGACTGTGAACTCTAAAATGAACACATACCGAGAATCCAGCCAACCCTTTGACCATAGTGCCAGGGTCCTGAAGATGAATGTAACACAGAGAGCAAGTGCGCACACCCAGCCAGCAGCTTTGTACAGATGTGTACTCACTACTGAGTGTGTTGATGGAGCTGTGCTGACGCTGCAGCATGGGTCACAGCCTAGGAAACCCAATGTAAACAGTAAGCATATTATTAACATTTATATCACAGTAGTGCCTTAGATCTCAGGCAGTGCAGATGCTATGATCTGTTCAGACATAGCAATGTCCCCAAACAGCTTTCCATCTAAAACGTCTAGTGTGCTTAGCTGAGCTGACAACAGACTTTTGTAGGTTTATAGATTTTTAAAGGCCAGGAGATACCACCAGTGTGATCATTCCCTCTGACCTCCTCAGTAACACGGGCACAGGATTTCCTTGAAAGCCTAAACTACAGTAATCCTTGTACTGTGAAACTGAAGGTCACGAATCCTGGGGCTCTCTTGGACCAACAAGGGAAGCACAGTTCAAGACCCTTCTGTTAGGAATTTCCAGCTGCCTGATAAACAAAACTTTACCTAGTGTCTGTCTGTAAGAACAATCAAGCCCCCCACCTTCCGCAGACAGAGGGCTGCTCCAGCCCAGTGGGGCCTGCTGTGGGCAGAGGGCACTACAGCCCAACCAGAGCAGCCCCCGCCGTCGGGAGGGGGCAGGAGCTAGAGCGAAGCCAGCCAATGATTAACTGGTTAACTGATTAAATGGGACTTTAAGTCTCTGGTCCGGAACAAGAGAATGTGTTGTTCCCTGCCACCAGACTCCCAGCCCACTACCCCCGCTTTTGGCCCTGGCCCCCTGCTGTCAGGCTCAGGCCCCACCGCCACGAGCTCCCAGCTGGCAAGGCTTCCAGCCCAGGACTCTCTGGACCCCTGATGTTTCCAGAGCAGAGTCCTGGTTTAGTGAGGTGCAACCTGTAGTTCTTAGCAAGCCACATATGACACCTAAATAATAACTTGGGGCTGGAGAGATGGCAGAAGAATTGGGAAATAATGATGGATTCAGGCTGTGAACTCCTGCTGTAGTAGCATAAAAAGACTCAAGGGACTTGTTTCTCAGCATGGAAAAGAGAAATATCCATTTATAGAGCCCTAACTGACTCCTGAAATTGACAAGCTGCCCAGCTAACTGCAGACTGTGAACTCTAAAATGAACACATACCGAGAATCCAGCCAACCCTTTGACCATAGTGCCAGGGTCCTGAAGATGAATGTAACACAGAGAGCAAGTGCGCACACCCAGCCAGCAGCTTTGTACAGATGTGTACTCACTACTGAGTGTGTTGATGGAGCTGTGCTGACGCTGCAGCATGGGTCACAGCCTAGGAAACCCAATGTAAACAGTAAGCATATTATTAACATTTATATCACAGTAGTGCCTTAGATCTCAGGCAGTGCAGATGCTATGATCTGTTCAGACATAGCAATGTCCCCAAACAGCTTTCCATCTAAAACGTCTAGTGTGCTTAGCTGAGCTGACAACAGACTTTTGTAGGTTTATAGATTTTTAAAGGCCAGGAGATACCACCAGTGTGATCATTCCCTCTGACCTCCTCAGTAACACGGGCACAGGATTTCCTTGAAAGCCTAAACTACAGTAATCCTTGTACTGTGAAACTGAAGGTCACGAATCCTGGGGCTCTCTTGGACCAACAAGGGAAGCACAGTTCAAGACCCTTCTGTTAGGAATTTCCAGCTGCCTGATAAACAAAACTTTACCTAGTGTCTGTCTGTAAGAACAATCAAGCAGCTCTCAACTGCCAGGATTGCTAATAAGAGGAGGCCCAAACTACAAGGCTGCGTCTAGACTGGCATGATTTTGCGGAAATACTTTTAACGGAAAAGTTTTTCCGTTAAAAGTATTTCCGCAAAAGAGCGTCTAGATTGGCATGGATGCTTTTGTGCCCAGTATAGACGTGCTTTTGCACAAGAAAGCGCCGATGGCCATTTTAGCCATCGGGCTTTCTTGCGCAAAAAATTAAGGTGCCTATCTACACTGGCCCTCTTGCGCAAGTATTCTTGCGCAAGAGGGCTTATCCCTGAGCGGGAACATCAAAGTATTTGCGCAAGAAGCACTGAATTCTTACATTAGAACGTCAGTGCTCTTGTGCAAATTCAAGCAGCCAGTGTAGACAGCTGGCAAGTTTTTGCGCAAAAGCAGATGCTTTTGTGCAAAATCTTGCCAGTCTAGTCACACCCCAAAAGTCTTTGTAGATGATAAAGATGTAGAGACTAGTCAACTGTCTCAGAAGCTTATTGGATCGTCATCTAGTGCTTTCCTGTGCTTTCTGTGGGACTTCTGCTTTTGAACTGCAGCAAGAGCCTGCCAGGCTCTTGCTATAGTTCAAAGGTGAAGGAGCCCTTATAGATTAATTGAATAGTCGATGGAAATCCCATCTAAATGTAACGTCCCTAGTACATGATGACCAACGTTTTCAATTGTACCCAAAAATGAAGGTGAGTGCAGATTATGGCACACAGATGTAACAGGCTACATACATGAGACACCATTGAGTAAGCAACCAGCCATGTTCT